AGTGACATAATCAGGTTCCCATATGGTAAATGCCAAATTGTTCAGACTGAAAGCATTATCTAAATGTAAAACAGGGTGATCAAAATAAGTAGTATGTGTTGTTACTGTAGTCTTACGACCTTTTTTTTTTTTTTTTTTTTAATATATTTTTTGTCTTGTTTTTAGACAGGATGGTCCTGTACAGGGAAATCAAATAATCTCCCATCCTCCCACCCCCAGTGGCTCCTCTTTTTCAAGCACTTAATATAGCAAAAAAGGCTATGGTGAATATGCATTTATACAGATAGAACTATTATTTAGCATTGTAGCCTGCAAACCAAAAACTGGTTCTTGAAGCTGAGTAGATGGTTAATCAGTGATTGAGTGAAAGGGGGTTAGGAGGGGGGAGGTTGAGTGACTGACTGTAGGTGTGTTGAGACAGAAAAGCCTGATCATGTGGAGTTAATATTTCCACCCACTCAGGATGTGCAATCACCTCAAGGATGCTGATGCAGGCTTCCAGGTTTGCGAGGGACGAGTTTGGCCTCGTCGTTTTTTGTGGGTGTGTGCATAGCGAGTTCTTCCTATTATATGCAAGTTCCTCTTATATTTCAACCCCCCCACCCCCTCCCACTGTTGTTTCATGTTCAGGTGCCTGTGTGAAAAAAAAAAAAAAATACTTTTACAGCAATTTTGATTGTTTAAAATCTGCTTCCAGCATATATCCGTGCCATTTTTATTTTCTTTGTTTTTTTTGTAACATTTGCAATGCTGTTAAAGTTGTCTTACAGCTAATCCTAATTTTCTTCTTTTTAAGCAACATGGCTGAAAGCGATGAGCGTTTTTCTGTGTTTTTGTAGGGTTAGCTAAAGCCAAAATCAGTTTGAATGGGACGGATGACAGCCGCTTGCTGGTGTATACTCACGGCAGTCCATTGTCAAGTTAATGTCTGAAATAGCACATAATTGAGTTGAACTGAGTTAACAAATTGATGTTTTAATGTGTTTTTATTTTAATTATTTTTTTTAGTTATAACCTAATTTATCCATAGATGCACAAGTAGGATGAGACTAAAAGGAATAAATGATAAAGAAAATCAAGATGTTTCATTGTTGACGAGTTTTAGATGATTTAGTTACTGATTAAGGCTGATGTAGAGCTATTTTTTTTTCTCCCCCAATAGCACCAATGTTAATATATTTGAAGTCTTTTCCAGCAGATTTTATACAAATTACTTTTAATTCATTTCTTCAAATAGTTGTTGATGGAGTGAGCATTGAAACACACGCATCCCAGAGTTCCTCTTAATATATTTTTATCTGTAGTGATGTCGATCGTGTCGCGAGGGGGGGGTGAGGTATTAACATGCAGTTCAACAACTCTGAATCTGCTTTCGCCAAAGGTACACTACTCAGATATTCAGCTACTGAATGGCAAACGCACAGCCCGGGGGGGTGGGGGGGACGTTGATGATGTCATAACCAGCTTCCTGACATCGTGCTGGGTTTGGAGGAGCTTTTAGTGAAGAGAAGTCACTACTGTAGCAGCTGAATGTCACTTTGAGCGTGTTATTACGCGGTGTGAGAGGAGAAATCTTAAAGAAAAAAGAAAAAAGGAAAAAAAGAAAACAAATACCGAAAGTGCTGCTTCTTCATCCAGTAATCAATCGTCTGTAATGGGAAATGCTGGACTTGGTGTTTGTGCTCGACTTAAAAACTGTCCCTCCTTCAAACTGTCATTGCCTCTCGTGGAACTGTTTTAATTTAGGGGGCTTTTTTTTCTGTTTTATTCAGTGACACCTGAGTGGTACGGTGTTTATGATTCCACACACGGGGAGGAAAGTAAACAAGGGCAATGTGTCTTTACGGGATTGAGTCATGAAAAGAGGCGATATGTTGTGCCGAGTCATCTTTTTGTTATGTTTCTCTGTGTCATCTCAAATGGCTGTTGTGCTTGTTAATGCTTTTTTTTTTTTTTTTTGGTCTGCTCCTCCTTTTATCACTTTTTACATCTCTTGCCCCCCTAAAATATGAGGCAATAGCATTTCTTTCTCAAATGTCTTACAGGTTGACATTTAAGTTTTTAAGTGAGCAGTCTTGATTTGATTATTTAATTTTTGTTTTGAATTTAACAGAAGTGTCACATTACAATGTTCTTTTTTAAAAGCATGATAATAACCCTCAAATTCCAAACAATGTAATAGAGTCAATAAAAAAAAAAAAAAAACTCCAGTGTTCACAATTTTAGTTTCCATTAAAATGTCAAATTTTCATGAAGAATTCTGTGTTTTGTTTGTGGTGTTATTTCTCTGATCTGATTCTCTGATTCTGTTCACACATTGAAAACCGATCACATGCATGACCACAAATAAGTTAGAAATCTTAAATAAACTCTTGTCTCTCTTCAAGACCAGGCCTGAACATCAGGTACTATAGCAGGACATCAAGGCCTGTATCCTGTCACAGGGATACTGTGATTTAGCAGTAGTGGAAAGTACATTGAAGTACTGCACAATCTTGAGGTGTTTCTACTTTACTTGAATTTTGCTACTTAACTCAAGGTAAATCTGTACTTTACACTCCACTAAATTTATTACTTCACTAATTAAGATTTGTCATGATCACGTTTTAAATTTTGATCCACTTGTTCCCTGCAGAAATCTCCTTCTTATGAAGTCATTTTACTCCTTAATTGAGCTCTATTTCCTTACTTTCTCTGCCTGTTTTTGATGCATATCAGTTTTAAGAACTTTCTAAAATCAAGTTTTTACTTTCTGAAAGGTTGTGTAGTGATAAAAGTTCTTTGACAGTTTAATTTGCATTAACAACAGCTTGACAGTGAGTTGTCCAGTGTGTAGGATTTAATGGCATCTAGGAGTGTAGTTTTAGATTACCACCCCTCACCTCACACTCACACTCCCAAGTGTGTAGGAGAAACTACGGTGGCTGCATCTAGAGCCAGTATATAGTTTGTCCATTTTGGGTTACTGTAGAAATATGGCAGTTCAAAATAGTGGCCTCCATAGAAGAGGATCTGTTCCCTCTGTAGATATTAAAGGCTCATTCTAAGCGAACAAAAAGAAAACACGATTCTTATTTTCAATTGATTATACTCTAATGAAAACAGAATACAATTCTTATTCCATTTCTGTCACTAGAGCCTCCTAAATGCTACACGCTGGACCTCTAACACATGAAGTCAGTACTTTTACCTATGTACAATTTTTAAAACATCACTTCTACTTGTATTTTAATATAGTTGTGGTATAAATTTTACTTAAGGAAAATAGATTTCCAAATAAATTATAAGTCTAGTCTAATATAAACTAATAGATTTATAAATGAGCACATAGCAGTTGACACAGTAGAGTCTGGAGGTTCATGGACCCCTGGAGTTCTGGGGTCCTGGGACAGCTGCCTGCTGTGCCCGATTTATAATTCAGCCTTCAGTATTCATGATTTATGTATTTATTGATTGATAGATATGTAACAGTGGAATATAAAGCACGAAAAGAAGATCTCATGTTGCCTATTGATTTATTTAATGTCTTAATATCATTTTTGTTTGGCTGGAAATATCGAAATATCGTCTCGAGAGACAAAATGTCCAACATATAAACCCTGTTGACAAATGATACCAACAGCAGGGAGACTGATCATTTGT